CTGAGGGCCAGGCCGACGAAGTCCCGACCGAACTCCGGGGTGGAGCGAAGAGTGGTGACTGCAGGCATCACTGCTTAGCCCCGCTAGGGAGGTTCTGTCTAACATCCTCCAAGGTTGTGAGAGGCTCGTAGCGTGCCTAATACGCGACCGGTGCCCAAAAGACTCGGCAAGGCAGAGGACGCGCGACAGGCGTGCCGCCGTAGAGTCGACGCGGGAGCCACTACCGGCGTCAACGAGGGAGAGCGAGTCGTCAGGCAGCAGATCCACGAGTCAATACCGAGCTATAAATCTACGTACAATAAACCCAACAAGTATTCTTAAATCTAACCTAACTCTGTGTTATTCTTTGGTCTCGGGGTTACGCATCAATAAATTTGGTGGGACGAACACACAAACTCAGCTGAGCTAGCCGCACGTTCTCGTAGCGAGCAAAGACACAAAAGCAGTTCGTTACATCTGGCGCCCAAGCGTGATACTCAGACCAAAGAGACCAGAATAGGTATAGAATGGGGAAGTCCTGGTTGTACAACCTTAAAAAGGACGATTTCCCGGCGATCGCAAGCGCCCTAGGCATCGAGCTAGAGGGCCTTGTAGATGAAATGAGGCGGACACTGGCCGAATTCATCGACCACTCCGAACATGACCATGAAGCGCTGGCAATTCTGGCGGCCCTGGAAAGGGATTACGCCAAATACCCGTCGGTCGGCCTGAAAGTCACCGGAGCCGAGGGCCTGGTGCGCAGCCTGGACGTGAGCAGCATACCGACGGGAGAACAGCAAGGAGAGAAAGAGCGTCAACCGCGAACAACGCGAGGAAAATGGCAGACCAGGACAGGAGTATGCCAAAGTCGCAAAACAAGTCAGGGAGTGGAGTTTCCGCTACGACGGGAATTAGAAGCCCCTGGAATTCCTCGAACAAGTAGAGTGGTCGGCCATGACGTACGGGCTGGACATCAACCAAATTCCGAGGGCGATGCCGGAGCTCCTTCAGGGCAGAGCGCTAAAATGGTTCATCGCTAATAACAGGTTCTGGGAGACCTGGGGCGGATTTAGCCAGAGCTTCCAGGAGTTCTTCTTGCCCAGGGGATTCATGAGCAAACTCGCAGATCAGGTCAGGCAGAGGAAGCAGAACTACGGTGAAAGCTTCAAAGACTAAACGGTAGACATGCAGACACTGATGCGACCCCTGGGTATGAACAAGGACGAGATCTTGGAGCGGGTTAAAGAAAATAGCACCCCAGCATTACGGCTGTTTATACGCCCCTACAGGTGCCAGAACCTAGATACCCTGATGACATTAGCGGACGAATTTGAGGAGCTCGACCAGCAGAGGGAGCGGTTCGAGCAGGAGAACATCCCGAAAGCCCGATACCATGCGCCGGCCATGAGGAGGGAACCTGCAGCGACGTGCAGGCGCTGTCAAGAGGAGCCAAATGAGCGCAACGCACGGCCAGGATATGTGAACAATCCATCCCAGGCATGCCGGAGATGCGGAAGCCAGGACCACTGGGCGAAAGAATGCCGCAACCGAAGAATAGCGTTCTGTTGGAGATGCGGGAAAATAGGCGTCACGAACGGCGAATGCTGCGCGCGAGCGGGAACGCCAAGCGACCCCAGCCACCGAGGGGCGGTCAGGGATCGCAAGGTGCTGCCTCTCGAAATTAATGGGCGACCTGAAGGCGGAAGAGATGCAGCTGTCCGCCACAGTGCTCATAGACAAACGAAAAGTAAAGGCCACGGTGGATACTGGCGCCACGGCCAGCTTTATAAGCGAAGAGTTGGCGGACAGGCTGCAGGCCGCCGGTAAGGTCGTACCAACGAGAAGGCAGGTGCGCATGGCAGACGGAAGATGCGGGAGCATCCAATCACAGCTGGAGATAGTGGTTGGTCTCGGGACGAGGAAGGTGTTGATGCAATTATTAATCCTCCCAAGAGTGATAGACGCCCTAGTTCTGGGCTGGGATTTCCTCTCAAAAATAGGAGCGGAGGTAAAATGCGCAGGACTCGAGGTGGCGATACCAGCAAGGAAGCGCAGTCGAGGAATGCTGGAAGAAAGACTGTCGGTGGCAGTGGTAGAAACACCAGAACAGTTTTCGGAAGAGGACATCGCCAAATTCCTGAAGGAGGAGCTAAAAGCGCTAGAAGAGTCAAGCGGAGCATCAAACATAGCCGTCCACAAGATCACGATGAAGGACGACCAGCCAGTGAAGCAGCGGTACTACCCAAAAAACCCCAAAATGCAGGGGGAAATAATGAAAAGGTAGACGAGCTGCTGGAAAAAGGATGCATCGAGCCGTCAAGAAGCCCGTACAGCTCTCCAATCGTCATGGTAAAGAAGAAGACGGGAAAATGGAGACTGTGCGTAGATTTCCGACAAATCAACGCAAAGTCGGTAAAGGATGCGTACCCGATGCCTATGATAAATTACATCCTGGATCAGCTAAGGGAGGCACGATACATCAGCAGCCTGGACTTGAAGGATGGATACTGGCAGATACCGCTGGAAGAGAAGAGCAGGCAGTATACCGCGTTCATCGTCCCAGGAAAAGGACTGTTCCAATGGAAGGTGATGCCATTCGGGCTGCACTCAGCGTCGGCAACGTTCCAAAGGGCGCTCGATCAGGTCATAGGGCCTGAGATGATGCCGCACGCCTTTGCGTATCAAGACGATATTATCGTCATCGGACGGACGCTGGAGGAGCATAAAAGAAACCTGAGGGAAGTGTTCCGAAGACTGCGAGCAGCGAACCTAAAAGTAAACGTGGAGAAGTGCAAGTTCTTCAGAAAGTAGCTGCAGTACTTGGGACATCGCATCACCGACCAAGGAATTGGAACTGATCCGGAGAAGGTGGCGGCGATAGCGTTGCTGGAACCGCCAGCCAACGTCAAGGAGCTGAGGCAATACCTGGGAGTGGCATCATGGTACCGACGTTTTGTACCCGACTTCGCCAAACTAGTCCAGCCGCTTAATGCCCTACTCCGAAAGAAGGTGAAATGGGAGTGGACCGACGACCACCAGAAGGCATTTAAGGCGGTCAAGGCCAGGCTGGTCGCAGACCCAATCCTGGCATGCCCAGACTTCACGAAGACGTTCATCCTGCAAACAGACGCCAGCGACTACGGGCTCGGTGCCAGACTCACGCAGCATTCAGATCAAGGCGAGAGAGTAATCTCGTATTCAAGTCGCTCCCTAAATGGAGCGGAAAGGAATTACTCCGCAACGGAAAAGGAATGCTTGGCGATTGTATGGGCCATAAGAAAGTTGCGACCATACCTGGAGGGATACCACTTCAAGGTAATCACGGATCATATGGCACTGAAGTGGCTCAACAGCATAGAGAGCCCGTCGGGAAGGATTGCAAGATGGGCACTGGAACTCCAGCAGTATGATTTTGAGATATCCTATGCTATGCTATGCGTACCCAGAGGATCAAGACAGAGGGTGATAGCGGAAAACCACGACGCACCAACAGCCGGTCACTTAGGAAGCAGGAAGACGATCGCAAGAGTGGCTGCGAGGTACCACTGGCCGGGCATGCACCGGGACATCAGAGCCTACGTACGCGGCTGTGAGAGCTGCATGAAGTACAAGCCGAATCAGCTGCAGGCTGCAGGCAAGATGTTGACGCAGATTCCCGAGGAGCCGTGGGCGACAGTGTGTGCCGATTTCGTCGGGCCACTGCCGCGGTCAAAACACGGCAATGCTATGCTGCTCGTGCTGGTGGACCGATTCTCGAAGTGGACCGAGTTGGTGCCGATGCGGAAGGCGACCACGGAATCTCTACAGAAGGCAATAAGAGAGAGGATCGTCTCACGGTACGGCGTCCCTAAAGTGTTAATCACGGACAACGGGGTACAATTCACAAGCAGGGCGTTCAAAAGATTTCTGGAAGAATTGGGGGTGCGACACCAATTCACTGCACCATACACGCCGCAGGAAAACCCGACAGAAAGAGCAAACAGGACGGTTAAGACGATGATCGCCCAGTTCGCGGGGGCCGACCAGAGGACCTGGGACGACAAATGGCCGGAACTACAGCTGGCAGTGAATACCAGTGTGGCGGAGTCCACCGGGTACTCGCCAGCGTTCGTCACCCAGGGTCGAGAACCTAGGCTGCCGAAAGCTCTTTTCGACGAGAACACAATCGGAACCGGAAAGGCGACACAAACACCGAAAGAAAATGCACAAAAACTGTCGGAAATTTTCGAACTCGTCAGGCGCAATATGGAGAAGGCAGCACAGGATCAGGCAAGGCATTACAACCTGCGAAGGAGACCGTGGACGCCAAGGATTGGTGATACGGTCTGGGCAAAGGAGCACCACCTGTCCAAAGCGGTGGAAGGCTTCGCGGCGAAATTGGCCCCCAGATATGACGGGCCATTCACAATCACTAATTTTATTTCCCCGGTAATTTGTAATTTACGGCACAGCCAGAATGGCAAGGAAAAGAGGGCTCACATTAGCGAGCTGAAGCCGAGCACAACCGAAGGGGAAAAATAGAGGTGACCGTCATACTGGGGGCGCACTGTACGTGTGTTTCGCGAGAAAGGGAGAGGACGATACGGAGTATCGAAGAAAATGGCCTCCCACACACACGTATACGTTTGGAGCGCGAGCGCCTGGAGCGCGAGACGCGGGTCAGAGAAGGGTACACAGCCGCATGCATATAACGGATCACTCACACTAACAAACCGAAAGAGAGCGGCGGGAAGGATCCCGTTACCGGTACAGATCCACCAAATAACGGGAGTGGCGGAAATAAGGAAACCGAGCTGTCATGGGGAACCACGTGGGAAGATTCGGTCTTTTCAAAAACTACGATCGAGATGGCCGGACGCAAACAGCAACAGCAGCAGCAGAAGCAGCAGCAGCAGAAGCAGCAGCAGCAGAAGCAGCAGCAGCAGAAGCTGCAGCAGCAGAAGCAGCAGAAGCAGAAGCACCAGCAGCAACAGCAGCAGCACCAGCAGCCGCAACAACAGCAACAGCAGCAGCCGTTGCCCATGAAGCAGCTACGCAAGCGTAAGGTCGGCGCGGAGGGCCGCGACCAGCGGCAACAGCCAGGGGCGAAATGGGGGCGTCGGCGCACGTCGTCGGCCCTCCAGCTGCTGGCGTCCCCGCTGGTATCGCGGTCGCCGTCGCCGGCCTGGTGCGAGATGTCGGAGAGGGAGGTGTCCTCCGACGAGGAGGTCGACGGCGGCCCCACCGCGGAGATGGTCACGGTGGAGCTGTCGTCGACAGAGGAGGACAGCGGCGGTGAGACCGTAACGCCCGTGGTCTCGTCGGATGAGGACGACGACCGGCGGGCGGCGAAGGCCAGGAGGAGCTACAGGCAGCTCAGGCGGGCCGTGGCGGGCGGCGATTTTATCCGATGCGGAACGGAGGCTCCGTCGGGGGACCCCGCAGAGGTGGCAGCCATTGTGGCCAGGCGCCAATGGACGCTGCGACGGCTACAGGAGCAGGAGAGGGAGAGGGTGGCGGCGTGGGAGGCGTGGCAAGTGCGCCTCCAGCAGGCAGAGGAAGAGGAGGCCGAGTTATGGAGGCCGCCTCCAAGGTCGCCGTCGGCGTCATCGTCGTCGTCGTCGTCGTCGTCGTCGTCGTCGTCATCGTCGTCGTCGTCGTCGTCGTCGTCGGCGTCATCATCACCGCCGAAGCGGCCGTCGCCACCGCCGAGATCGCCACCACCGCCACCGCCGAAATTGCAATCGCCACCACCGCCACCGCCGAAATTGCAATCGCCACCGCCATCGGCGAAACTGCCGTCGCCACCGCCGAGACGGCCGTCGCCGCCGAAGCTGTCACAGCCGCCGCCGCCGAAGATGTCACCGCCTCCTCCGCCGGCGTGGGTGTGGCCACCACGGCCGGAAGGACCGTTGCCGTCGTCGACGCCGCCGCTGCCGCGAGGGCCGCCACCGTCGCCACCGCTACCGCCGCCACTGCCGCAAGGGCCGCCGCCGTCACCACCGCCGCCGCCGCCAGGGTCGCCAGTGGCAAGAAGCACGCCGCCACTGCCGCAAGGGACACCGCCGTCGGCGCCGCAACCGCCGCCACGACCGCCGAAGCTACTCCGGCAGGTGTCGTGCCCGGAGGCCCAGGCACCGAAGAGGCCCACCTTGCGGAGGACGGTGTCGGTGGAGCCCGCCGGGCGGGAGATAGCCCTTGCGGAGTGTCCGGAGGCGGTGAGGGTCGAGGCGGAGAAGCAGGCCCAACGAGGGAGGACCCAGCGGTGGGCCAAGCTGATGTGGTCGGAGGGGGCCCGCTACCGCATTAAGATGGCGGGCGGGCGGGCCAGGGTGTTCAAAACAAAATAAATGCCTCGCCAAGTGCCATGGAATCGGCTGTGTATTTAGGGGACAGGGGTGGGTAATGCCGGAGGTGGACCGGTCAAGAAAAACATACACAAAAAAACAGGCAAACACAAAAAAAAAAAATACACAAGAAAAAAATGTAGATGGGGCTGGACGGGTCAATGACCCCGCAAGGGGCGCGAGCCAGGCGCGCGGGCCGGCAAGGAGCGAGGCGAGAGGGGGTCAGCGACAGACCCAACGACTCCATGGACGTCCGCCCGAGGACCATCTGCCGGGCGCGACGGGCCAAGGATGGCGCCCGGCGCATGAAGAGGAAGCAGCGACTGGCAGCCGGGACAAGCTGGAATAAAAGGAGGAAAAGGTAAGCCGAGGAGCGGCCAAATATTTCACAAACTTACCTGGAAGCAAGCCCGGGCCTCCAGTCCAAAGGGGCTGCTGGGGTAGATGGGGCAGTGGAGGGGAAAAGGGGCCAAGAGAGGGCCTGCCGGGACGCGCTGCATCATGTTGGGCGCCCCGGCACATAGTCATCGGGGAGGCGCTCGCAGCTCAACCCGGAAAAGATGCATGCTGCAAGAAGAGGGAGAAAATGGTGAGAAATGTGGAAAAGAACGAAATAACCTCAAGTACTTACCAAAACAAAACCACGAGGCCAGCGGAAATTGGGAATGGGGTCGCCACGATAACGGCGGTCGATCGATAGTTCGATCGATGGGAGCTAAAAAAATACTGGAAACATCGCTGGCCGGTCACACTGAATATGACGGCACCCTGAGGAGTGGCAACGCCACGATCGATAGACGAGTTATCGATTGTGCGCGGGGAAATTCTGCGCGGGAGACTTTTTCAAATTTGAAACGAGGATCGGAAGGAGTCGCGCGCTGGGAGTTTCCGACAGCCAAGATGCCCTAGTCAAGAAGCCCAACGACGGGAAGTCTACATAAGCTGAGACTTAGGTGCTGAGGCTGGAGGAGCTCTCAGCCGTGGCGGGAGGAGGTCGACGAGGGAGTGGCAGCGGCCACCAGGATCAAGGAAGGATCGATGTGCGCGCAAGGAGCCATGAAGGTCGAGACGCCGCAGTCGAGATGCTTAACAACCAGGTAGGGTTTACTAGGCTGAGACTGTCCGGCTGAGATCCAGAGGGCCCTTGGCCGCACTCAGGAGTGGAGGTCGACGTGGGAAGGATGCAATTTGAGAACGTTTCCCCAGGACATTCCGGAGCCCAAAGCTTTTAAAAGTTTCCGAAGGAAGGGGGAGATGTAAGGGTTTGTAAAACGCCTTACAAGTTTGAGTGCAGGAGAGCCGCATAGCAACAGCGGGATGCGCGGCGTGCAGAAAAAAGGGAAATAACGGTGCAAGGGACTTTGGACTCAATGCTGCGATGAGTCTGCAGACTTTGGACCCAATAACGGTGAGTCTGCGGACTTCGGACCCGCGCAAAGAGGAGAGACCGTGAACTAACGGTACCGTTCTGGACTTTGTACCCGTTATAACGGTGAAGTTCTGGACTTTGTACCCGTTATAACGGTGAAGTTGGCGGACTTTGGACCAGCACAAAGAGGAGAGACCGTGAACTAACGGGACTTGTGCTGCACTTTGGACCCGATCACGCCACTTGTCCTGCACTTTGGACCCAGTCACGCCACCGATGGAGGGAAATAGCGGGACATGGATGGCATATAAAAGGAGGACGCGTGCAGGCAGTCGGGACAGTCAAGTGAAGTCGTGCAACGAGATCGTACCAACGCGAGTGAAACCCCGAGGAGAACAACAAGTGCCAGGATACCAGGAATCAATATCGCCGAGTCAAGAAGCCCAACGACGGTCACGTCTACATAAGCTGAGACTGCCAAGCTGAGATCCCGAGGGTACAAGGTAAGTTGTAGGGTGCGTCTACGAGTCTCGAAATCGACGAAGTTGGTGGAGTCTTGGCAGTGGATGTTGTGCGAAAGGTACCCAGCGTCGGTACCCCATGAAAGATTGAGGACCTGCTGAGGGCCAGGCCGACGAAGATCCAGTGGAGTTGTGCGAAAGGTACCCGGCGTCGGTCCACACGAGAGTGAGGACCTGCTGAGGGCCAGGCCGACGAAGTCCCGACCGAACTCCGGGGTGGAGCGAAGAGTGGTGACTGCAGGCATCACTGCTTAGCCCCGCTAAGGAGGTTCTGTCTAACATCCTCCAAGGTTGTGAGAGGCTCGTAGCGTGCCTAATACGCGACCGGTGCCCAAAAGACTCGGCAAGGCAGAGGACGCGCGACAGGCGTGCCGCCGTAGAGTCGACGCGGGAGCCACTACCGGCGTCAACGAGGGAGAGCGAGTCGTCAGGCAGCAGATCCACGAGTCAATACCGAGCTATAAATCTACGTACAATAAACCCAACAAGTATTCTTAAATCTAACCTAACTCTGTGTTATTCTTTGGTCTCGGGGTTACGCATCAATAAATTTGGTGGGACGAACACACAAACTCAGCTGAGGTAGCCGCACGTTCTCGTAGCGAGCAAAGACACAAAAGCAGTTCGTTACAGTTTATTTTCATCAAATGATCAACACTAGGTACATTGATAACTTATTAATGGATTCTCAATGACTATTCATAATAAACGCTTTATTATATTCTTAAAGTATCATTCGCTTTAAAATCAGGACTGGCTACCCCAGCCCCAAAAATCTCACTGCCGCAATCAGCACACCAAGAACCGAACACGGCTCAGCAGCATCAACCGCTGGAGCAGCCAAAAAGTAACTTTGAATCTTTGATATGCAGTCTACAACAAAGCCTTACGGAGTTTATGTCGTTTATGCGTACAACTATGCAAGATCTAATGCGAAACCAAAATCTACTTATACAAATGCTGGTTTCACAACAATCCAAATAATGACTTCCCTACGAATATCTACGTGGAACGCTAACGGCGTTTCGCAGCACAAACTCGAGTTAGCGCAATTCCTTCTAGACAATTAAATCGACGTAATGCTGCTTTCAGAAACACATCTTACAAACAAATACAATTTCCAACTACGAGGATATACATTCTATGGAACAAATCATCCAGATGGTAAAGCACACGGCGGGACTGGAATTTTAATCAGAAGCCGTATTAAGCACCATTACCATACGATATTTGCTAAAAACTACATACAGGCCACATCAATAAATATACACCTAAATACTGGCAAGCAACTAACTCTAGCCGCCGTATACTGTCCCCCACGCTTCACCATAGCCGAAGATGAGTTAATGCAGTTTTTCAACTCACTCGGAGACCACTTCATAGCAGCAGGAAGAAACTTCCCGATTTAATAGACTTTGCGATTACCAAAAACATTCCTAAAAATATGATTAGCGCCGAATGCCTTTCGGATCTTTCATCTGACCACTCGCCTGTCCTCTTTACTCTACTCCGACACCCAGGAACATGGGATCACTCATCAAAACTGACCTCACATAACACCAATTGGGTTAAGTACAGGAAGTATATCAGCTCACACATTGAGCTGAGTCCTCACCTCAGCGACGAAGCCAACGTAGACAGTTTTGTTAATTCACTGGAGTCTGTACTCGTCTCTGCAGCTCGAGTTTCAACACCTCAAACTACAAACACACTATACATTCAAAAGAAGACAAATCTACAAATCGAACAGCTGGTCCTCGAAAAGCGACGCTTGCGCCGAGAATGGCAATGTCACAGATCGCCATCTGCTAAGCAACGCTTAAAATAAGCCTTCCGTCAACTTGATCAAGCTCTACAGCAAGAAGAAACGTATGTCCACCGCCGCTATATAGAGCAATTGTCAATTAACAGTACAAAACACTCACTATGGAGAGCTCACCCAACTATGAGCTCACCGAAAGAAACCGTGATGCCAATTAGAAATTCCACAGGCGGGTGGGCGCGAAGCGACGCAGACAGAGCCAGCACGTTTGCCAAACACCTTAAAAAATGTCTTCCAACCAAATCCTGCCACCAATGCGTTTACTTTGCCGCTTCTATCATATGAACCCCAGCCTCAACATGAGCCAATCGAGTTTCGCCCAAACGAAATCGTTAACATCATCAAAAGACAACTGAATCCGAAAAAATCCCCGGGCTGCGACCTCATAACTCCCAAAATGATCATTGAGCTCCCATACTGCGCCGTTTGCACTCTCACCCAGCTTTTTAATGCCATCGCAAAACTTGGCCACTTTCCAGTGAGATGGAAAAAGTCAATTATAATAATGATAGCAAAGCCGGGGAAAGACCACACTATCCCCACGTCGTATAGACCTATAAGCCTACTCTCTTGCCTATCCAAACTCTTTGAAAAATGCCTAATGACTCGGATAAACACATACCTTAGAATCCAGGAAGGAATCCCGTCACACCAATTTGGGTTTCGTGAAAAGCATGGAACAATTGAGCAGGTCAACCGGATAACATCCGAAATTCGGAACGCGTTCGAAAAACGGGAGTACTGTACTGCCATATTTTTAGATGTCTCTCAAGCATTTGATAGAGTCTGGCTAGAAGGTCTAATGTACAAGATCAAGACAATGCTCCCCTACAGCACCCACAAGATTTTAGAGTCTTACCTTTACGACAGAAAATTTGTCGTGAGGTGCAACACTGCTATTTCTGACGATTACACTGTTGGAGCTGGAGTTCCTCAAGGTAGCGTGCTAGGACCAATTTTATATGTCTTGTACACAGCAGACATCCCGACAAGCACACGTCTAACAACATCCACGTTTGCCGATGACACAGCTATTCTTAGCCGCTCAAAATGCCCGATTCAAGCAACTGCGCAGCTAGCCCTTCATTTGGTTGATGTTGAAAAATGGCTGTCAGATTGGCGAATTAAAGTGAACGAACTAAAATGCAAGCACGTTACGTTCACTCTGAACAGGCAAAACTGCCCGCCGATTACATTAAACAACACCCTACTCCCACAAGCAAACGAAGTAACATACCTAGGAGTACATCTCGACAGAAGACTCACATGGCGCCGGCACATTGAAGCCAAA